GGGTCTTGATAAGTGTGGTGACTGGTGATGCGGTAGGCGTGGGGGTCTGGATGTGTGGTTTGGACTGTGGATTTGCGCAGGTCGATCGTGGTCTGATGTGTTGGAGTGACTGTGGGTGGCGTCGGGTCCGTGGTCTGATGTGTGGTGACTGTGGGTGGCGGTCGGTCGTGGGGTCTGATGTGTGGTGACTGTGGGTGGCGGTCGGTCGTGGGGTCTGATGTGTGGTGACTGTGGATGGCGGTAGGTCGTGGGGTCTGATGTGTGGTGACTGTGGATGGCGGTCGGTCGTGGGGTCTGATGTGTGGTGACTGGTTGGCGGTCGGTCGTGGGGTCTGATGTGTGGTGATTGTGGATGGCGGTCGGTCGTGGGGTCTGATGTGTGGTGACTGTGGATGGCGGTCGGTCGTGGGGTCTGATGTGTGGTGACTGGATGGTGGTCAGTCGTGGGGTCTGATGTGTGGTGACTGTGGATGGCAGTCGGTCGTGGGGTCTGATGTGTGGTGACTGTGGATGGCGGTTGGTCGTGGGGTCTGATGTGTGGTGACTGGATGGTGGTCAGTCGTGGGGTCTGATGTGTGGTGACTGTGGGTGGTGGACGGTCGTGGGACGGTCGTGGGACGGTCGTGGGGGTCTGACATGTGATTGTGGATGGCGGTCGGTCACGGGGGTCTGATGTGTGGTGGCTGCAGGTGGAGTCCCAGGTGTGTCTGTAGCTGCTTTGTGTCCCCGGCCCCTCAGCTCCCCTTTCCCAAGCTCCCCGGGGGCTCCCTGGGCTTCCTCCTGCCATCGGGCTTGGCTTCAGGTCCACGTGTCCTGGTTGGAAGAAACAAGTGCCCAGCTCTGGCCAGGGTGGGCCACATTTGTGGCTCATGCCCTCTCCTCTGCCGGCAGGTCTCTACCTTAACGGACCTCCAGCCGTACATGCGACAGTTCGTGGCTCACCTGCAGGAGACCAGCCCGCTGAGAGATGCCGTCGTCATTGAGCAGGTCTGAGCACTGCCCCCAGGGTTGGGCATGGACCCCAGCAGTGGGTCCTCACCTGGGGCATCACTGGGCTCATCACCAGGCAGACTGTTGGCCCTGGGGGGCGGTCGGGGGAATGAGCTGTGGTGGGGGCATGAGGAGCTGTGTGCCTTGGTGGAATCTAAGCTGGGCCAGGCTGTGACAGCTGCTGCATTCGGGCACCTGCTCACGTTTGACCACTTGGCCTCTCTCCAGCCCCGCAGTGGCTTTATTCATGATTTGCTAAATGTCTTCTCTGGCAATTTTGATCTTGAGGCCAAAGGAAAGGTGTCCCCCTCCTTTAGGAGGGCAGGCCATGTTTGAGCCGCATCCCACCGAGCTGGCCCCTCAGTGCTGGGTGCGAGGCCAAGGGAAATGTGTGCCCCTTCTTAGAAGGACCGGCCGTGTTTGAGCTGCGTTCCGCTGAGCTGGCCCCTCAGTGCTGGGTCTGTTCACGTGACCCTGTGGCTCTTTGCAGATGCCCGTTTAACGCTTGTTCCACTTTAAGGGACAGTCGTGTCCACTGAGTGAGGCTCAGAGACCTCTGGGCAAATTTCCTTGGCTCCCAGAGTGGGGGTGGGGGTGGCCTGGGCTCCTGGGACCCAGACCCAGTGCCCGGCAGCTGGGCAGCAACTTCTGGATCACGTGTGCCATCTGGGCCACAGTGGGCTGTGAGGGTCTGAGCCCAGCTGGACACACAGGTGGCTCAGAGGGGATGTTCTGTGTCACACACTCTGCCTAAGCCCCTGTGTGTCTGCAGAGACTCGGCCCGGCCAGCCCACGATGGCCCTGCATTCCAGCCCAGCCCACGCTTCATCACGAACACCGACCCCAGAAGGGATGGAGGGTCTTGGCCACGTGGTCCTGCCTATCCCGGTACCCACCGGCTCACTCTCGTGTGTGTCTCCTGCTTTCCCAGAGTTCCTCCCTGAACGAGACCAGCAGTGGCCTCTTCGACGTCTTCCTACGCTTCGTGTGCCACCACGCCGTGCGCATCGGGGGCAAGTGAGTCGGGTGGCCGGGTGCCATTGCCCAGCGGGTGGGTGGGCGGACTGGCAGGGCTTCTGCTCACCTCTCCCCTGCCCCTTCCCCACTGCCCTTCTCCCGGGGCCACCAGGGTCTCCTTTTCTGGCCCCCCACCCCTCCGACTCCTGGGCTGCAGGTGCCCGAGGCCCCGGGAACATGGCCCGACTTGCAGCTGCTGGAGCAGAGCAGATGCTATGCGAGGCCTGGAAATGGCAAGCGGGGTGTGGACTTGCTCCTGTGCGGAGGACGAGGGGTGTGGGGTGTGTGTGGGTCGGGGGTGCGGCCGAGCGTTTGAGCCTGCAGCTTGTCAGCTCCAAGTTACTACTGACGCTGGACACCCCGCTGTCACACGCTGTATCTCTCTCTCCATATACAAGAGGATTTTATCTGATTCTCATTCCCGTCCCTGTCGCGTGACCCCCGCAAGGGCATGGGCTCTTCTCTCTGTGGCTAGATTTCCCATCTGGAAAGTGGGGGGTTGACCGTGTAGTTTGCTCCTCTTGGGGGCTCTGTGCTGGCCATGGGGCAGGTGGCCTGGGATAGCTCAAACTCCTGACCTCAGGTGATCCACCCACCTTGGCCTCCCAAAGTGCTGGGATTACAGGCGTGAGCCACCACGCCTGGCCGGAAAGCCTCTTTTTAAGGTGACCGCCTACAGCACTTCCCGAAAATAACAGGTCTTGTTTTTGCAATAGGCTGCAAGTGTCTCTTGGCAACAGGAGTGGGCATCCTGTGGGCTCTGGGGATGGCTGAGGGTCACGTGGCAGCCATGCCTTCTACGTGCACCTTCAGGTTCCCAGGGGCTCTTCTGCTCTCACTGTTTGTCTGAAAACGCACCCTTGGCGTCCTTGTTTGCTTGGAGAGTGTCTGCGTCTCGTTGGTTGTGGTGAAACCAGGGGCAAGGCTGTATCGGTTGGCACACAGCTGCTACATGTAGGGCTGTGAACTTTCACCGTGGATAAATTCCTTGAAAGGAGTCCAGTTAAGCATTCCTTCCGGGTCAAGTGTCTGGTTCTGTGAATAAACTCGAAGATTTAAGAAACCTTAATGAAAGAAAGCCTTGATGGTTGAGAACAAGGATGTGGTCACAGCTGTGGCTGGATCTGCCCTAAGCCGCCCCAGGTCGCAGTGAGAGTGGGCGCGGGGATTGTGTTCAGAGGTCCCGTCTGGTGTGTTTGTGAGGTGTTTGCCGGCTGAATGGTAGACATGTCGTTGGTGTGTGGAGGTGGTGTGTATGAGGGTCTGTGTGTGATTCTGTGTGAGTGTACACATGTCCACACATGCCCCGCCCATCGCTTACCTGCGTCTTCCCGCCCCAGGTCCTACATCCAGTGCCAGGGGATCCCGCAGGGCTCCATCCTGTCCACGCTGCTCTGCAGCCTGTGCTACGGCGACATGGAGAACAAGCTGTTTGCAGGGATGCGGCGGGACGGGTGAGGCCTCCTCTTCCCCAGGGGTCTTGGGTGGGGGACGATTTGCTTTTAACGTGTTCAGTATTAATATTCCTGGTGCTCTGGATACCATGACTGCTCTGTCTTGAGGAACCAGACAAGGTTGCAGCCCCTCCTTGGTGTGAAGCCACACAGGAGGGGTTGCACAGCCCGAGGACTGCGGGCTCCATGCGGACTCTGTCCAGCGGCCGTGTCCAGAGGCCTCGGGGCTCAGCAGGCAGGAGGGCCACTGCCCTGCATGACGCACGTGTGAATTCAACACCGAGGAAGCACACCAGCTTCCATCACATCCACCCGGGTTCCTTTAGGGTCCTCGGGGACACAGGCTGGTGCAGCCTGAGGCTCCGCATCTCCCGGCAGGCCCTCAACAGGTGGCCTGGACTGGGCGCCCCTTCAGCCCATTGCCCATCCCACTTGCATGGGGTCTACACCCAAGGACATCAACACCTAAAATATCTGTGCCAACCTAATGGTGGTCAACTCGCTGGCTTTGTTGACAGCATTTACTTTTTTTTTTTTTTAATATACTTTAAGTTCTGATACATGTGCTCCAACGGCAGGTTCTGTTCATATGTACAAATGTGCCGGATGTTGTGCCTGCACCCGTTTAACTCGTCATTTACATTAGGTGTAATCTCATAATATGCTATCCCCCCCCATCCCCCCACTCCACAGACAGGTCCGGTGTGTGATGTTCCCCTCCTGTGTCAGGTGTCTCATTGTTTCAATTTCCACCTTATGAGTGAGCAACATGCAGTGTGTTTCGGTTTTCGTCTCCTGTGGAATAGTTTGCTGAGAATGGATGGTATTCCACTGTTGAGTCCCATGGTCCCTGCAAAGGACATGAACTCATCCTTTTTTATGGCTGCATAGTATTCCATGGTGTATATGTGCCACGTTTTCTTAATCCAGTCTGTCACTGATGGACATTTGGGTTGGTTCCAAGTCCTTGCTATTGTGAATAGTGCCACAATAAACATACGTGTGCATGTGTCTTTATAGCAGCATGATTTATAACCCTTTGGGTATATATCCAGTAATGGGATGGCTGGGTCAAATGGTATTTCTAGTTCTAGATCCCTGAGGAATTACCACACTGTCTTCCACAACAGTTGAACTACTTTACACTCCCACCAACAGTGTAGAAGTGTTCTGGTGCTGGAGAGGATGTGGACAGCAGTTACTTTTTCTTATGAAAATAGTATCATTGAACAAGCAGTTAGTGAAGGATGCGTCAGGAAGCCTGCAGGCCATACGGCCATTTCTCTCGAAGTCTCCGGGTTTTTCCTGTGCTGCTTTTGAAACTCTAGCTCCTATTATAGCATGTACAGCGGATCAAGGTTCTTCTTCATTAAGGTTCAAGTTATAGATTGAAATACGTTTATGTAACAGAAACAAAAATTTCTTGTATACACAGCTTGCTCTGGGACTTGGAGGGAAGTGTCCTTGAGCTGGCGGCACCCTGGTCAGCCCTCTGGGACAGGACGCCTCTGGTACATGGTCATGGGGCGCCAGGCTTGGGCCTGAGGGTTGCACAGTGCACCATGCCCCGCTTCCTGGGGGCAGGATCTGGGTCTCGGATGATGCTGAGAAGCACAGTTGCCCTGCTGGTAAAGGGCACCGCGTGGCTCAGAAGGGGCGAGGTTCCCGGCCCAACATTCTTACCGTCTTCAGTTATTTTTCCCTAAGAGTCTGAGAATTGGGGCTGCACCTGGTGGCCTTTGTTCACCTCCAGCTGGTGCGGAATTGCACAAGCCGGTGCTGAGCACTGAGTGCTTGTAATGAATGAGGAATTGCTCTGTCAGTGAACTGCAGAGAGCACGCCTGTTGGAAAGAAATTTAAGTTTTTGATTTAACCGCTTTGGAGAATGTTACTTTATTTTTGCCTGTGTAAATTGTTTGACATTCAGTCCCTCGTAGACAGATACTACGTAAAAAGTGTAAAGTTAACCTTGCCCGTGTATTTTACTTTATTTCAGGCTGCTCCTGCGTTTGGTGGATGATTTCTTGTTGGTGACACCTCACCTCACCCACGCGAAAGCCTTCCTCAGGTGAGGCCCGTGCCGTGTGTCTGTGGCGACCTCCACGGCCTGTGGGCTTTGCAGAGTTGAGCCCTCCGTGTCCTGCCCCTGGCACCGCAGCGTTGTCTCTGCTGGGTCCTGTCTCTCTGCTGGTGCTGGATCCGCAAGAGCAAAGGTGCCTGGTCGTGCACCCCGGCCTGGGGGCACGGGCACCTTCGGGAGAGAGTGGGTCCCGCGGAGATGCACCCAGGTTACGCACATGGTGAGTGCAGGCGGTATCCCGGCTCCTGCCACTCTCTGGAAAGTCTTCAAGCGTGGCGGCTCCTGCGGCCCCAGTGAGACCCCCCGGAGCTGTGCACAGGGCCTGCGGACCCAGACAGCAGCCTCCTCCCCATGGTGCGCCCGAGCCTGCGGAGAGCAGGAGCTGCCGAGTGAGCTGGCCCACAGCGTTCGCTGCAGTCACGTTCCCGCGTGGGGTGGTTTGGGATTGGCGGGAGAATTTGGATTCGCCGAGTGGTGCTGTCTTGAACCACGGAGATGGCGAGGGGTGGGTCTTAGAGTTTATTTTTGTGGCTCAAACTAAAATCAGGCACAGGGAACCTGGTTTCAGCACAGGGGGTTGTCCAATGTGGTCCCCCTCAAGGGCGCCCCACAGAGCTTGCTTTAAAGTGCGATTTGACAAGGGATGAGAAACCTTGAAAGCTGTAAACGGAACCCTCAGAAAATGTGGCCGCCAGGGGTGGTTTCGGGTGCTTTGCTGGGCTGTGTTTGTGAAAACCCATTCGAACCGCCCTCCAAGTTCACCCTCCGGGGCTGCCCGGGCTGGGGGCATGCCCCGCGTTCCCGTTAGTGCTGCAGCCTGTAGCACAGCAGGCCGCGCACATTTAAATCACAGCAGGCCGCGCACATTTAAATCCACTCAGATTCACTCAGGACCAACCCAGGAGTCCTGAGGCTGCTGAGGGGACGGAGCCGACGGGGAACGCTGCTTCTGTGTGGCAAGTTCCTGAGGGTGCTGGCCCGGGAGGTGGCTCAGAGTGTACGCTGGGGTCTCCCCGGGGACAGAACTCTCTCAGGAGATGAGTCGGCAGCCACATCACAGGAAGGGGCGGCTGTGGGGAGCTGGGAATGCACCAGGGGAGCTGAGCAGCCGGCGGAGGTCCCAGGGCCAGGCTGCAGGAAGGGCAGGGGGACGCCTGGGGCCAGAGCAGAGGCCTCAGGAAGGGCAGGGGGACGCCTGGGGCCAGAGCAGAGGCTGCAGGAAGGGCAGGGGGACGCCCGGGGCCAGAGCAGAGGCCTCAGGAAGGGCAGGGGGACGCCCGGGGCCAGAGCAGAGGCTGCTGGGCACAGGGGGTCTCCCTGAGCTGGGTGGGCAGGATCATGACCTGCTGAGGGAAGCTCCTTGACGTCCGGTGAGGGAAGCTCCTTGATGTGAAGCTGATGGTTGGTGTTGCCCAGCTCAGAGCCCAGCCGAGTCCCACACCTGAGCGTGAAGTCAGAACCCTCCCCTCGTCTGAAGCACAGCAGATGCCTTCAGGGCCTCTAGGAGAAGACAGGCCAAGTCATTGAGCAATGTCTTAAAAGAAGAGTGGTGTAGTGAGAATTTCTTGTCCAGATTTTAGTCTACCCCAGACCACGGATGAGTCTTTGTAACGGGATCGTGGTCTTGCCATGGGGACACATGAGATGGTCCATCACAGAGGCCACTGGGGCTGCACCTCCCGTCTGAGTCCTGGCTGTCCCAGGTCCGGGCCAGGTTCCTGCGCGCTCACCTACCTGTCCTGCCCAGGAGACAGGGCAAGCACCGTGAAGTCTGGAGCAGGGCTGAGTCCAGGCCCTTCAGAGCTGCTGCCAGGCCCAGCACCCCTCTCCAGATCACCACTTCTCCGGGGTTTTCCAAAGCATTTAACAAGGGCGTCAGGGCACCTCCTGGGTGACGGCCCCGCATCCTGGGGCTGACATCGCGCCTCTGCCTTAGGACCCTGGTCCGAGGTGTCCCTGAGTACGGCTGCGTGGTGAACTTGCGGAAGACAGTGGTGAACTTCCCTGTGGAAGACGAGGCCCTGGGTGGCGCAGCTTTTGTCCAGCTGCCGGCGCATGGCCTGTTCCCCTGGTGCGGACTGCTGCTGGACACCCGGACCCTGGAGGTGCAGAGCGACTACTCCAGGTGAGCGCACCTGGCCGGAAGCGGAGCCTGTGCCCGGCAGGCACAGATGGTGCTGCAGGGCCGTCCCGTCCGCCCCTGCTTCCGTGTGGGGCAGGCGACTGCCAATCCCAAAGGGTCGGAGGCCACAGGGTGCCCCTCGTCCCATCCAGGGCTGAGCAGAAATGCGTCTTTCTGTGGGAGTGAGGGTGTCACAAGGGGAGAGGTTTTCTGTGCTATTTTTGTAAAAGGAAATTGTGCACCAGACCTGGGAACACTGAGGTGTCCTCAGAGAGCAATCTGGATCTGAACCCGAGACGCCCAGGCCCTGCTGGGCTTGAGTCTCTGCGAACCTGAGACACTGGGGCCCTGCTGGACGTGAGTCTCTGCGAACCTGAGACACTGGGGCCCTGCTGGACGTGAGTCTCTCCACTGTGAGGCCCACACTCCGAGGCTCATCCACAGTCTACATGATGCCATGAGTTCATAATCACGTGTGACCCATCAGGGGACAGGGCTGTGGTGTGTGGGGGTCTCTACAAAAATCTGGGGTCTCATTTCTCCCGAGCCTGAGAGCTCATGGCCCCACCTCAGGCTCAGACACAGATGGATTGAAGATGGACACAGATGCAGAAATCTGTGCTGTTTCTTTTATGAGTAAAAAGTATCACCATTCCAGGCAGGGCGAGGTGGCTCACACCTGTAATCCCAGCATTTTGGGAGGCCGAGATGGGTGGATCACTTGAGGCCAGGAGTTTGAGGCCAACCTAGCCAACATGGTGAAACTCCGTTTCTACTTAAAAAGTACAAAAATTAGCCTGGTGTGGTGGCGTACGCCTGTAGTCTCAGCTATGCGGGAGGCTGAGGCAGGAGAATCACTGAGGCTCAGGAGAGGTTGAGAATCATTGAGAATCAGGAGAGGTTGCAGTGAGCTGAGATCACACCACTGTACTCCAGACTGGGCAACAGAGCGAGACTTTATCTTAAAAAAAGGCAAAAAGTATCAGCATTCCGAAACCATGGTGGACAGGTGCTTTTTATTCTGTCCTTCAATAATATCCACTGGTGCTGTGCTAGAGGCCGGAACTGGGGGTGCCTTCCTCTAAAAGGCACGGCTTCATGGGAAGAGAAATAAGGGATTTTTAAATCCCTTACTGGATGATTGTTAAACCAGTGGTTTAAACTGGGGTCCTGTCATTCTGAGTTGAACAGTCCGGATCTGGACTTTGCCTCTTTCCAGAATGCTCCCTGCGGTTTGCTTAACGGGGGAGCAGCAGGTGCGGACACCCTCGTATTGGGGGAGTGGCAGGTGTAGATGCCCTTGTGCTTGGTGCCCAGCACATCCCTGCTGCAGCTCCCTCCCCACCAGGACACCGGTCCCCTGTGCTCCCCACAGTCCCTGCTTCCCTCTCCCAGCCTCACCTGATCCTGGCCTCTGCTGGCTTTGTCTGAGTGATTTGCAGATTTCCTGGGCTCCCGGCACCTCCTTGCCTCTCCCTAGGCACCTCTGCAGCACTGGCCATACCATCAGCCGTGAACTGTCCACTGCTTATTTTGCTCCCCATGAAATGTATTTTTTAGGACAGGCACCCCTGGTTCCGGCCTATGGCACAGCATCAGTGAATGTTACTGAAGGACAAAGCAGACAGACAAACGAATCAGGAAAATGGGTTCTCTCTGAACACATTGCAAAGCCACAAACGCTAGTGCAGGATGGGTGGGCATCAGGTCATCAGATGTGGGTTCAATGCCAGAATATTCTGTGCTCCCAAAGGCCACTTGGTCAGAGTGCCTGCTTGCAGAGGTGGTTGTAAAAGCTCAGCAGTAGAGGCAGTGGTTCGCCGCACTCAGGGTGAACACACGTCCTCTGTGTCTGAAGCATACAAAGGCTTGAAGGGCATCTGGGAGAAGAAAACAGGCAAGATGATTAAGAAAAGTGAAAAAGGAAGAGTGTTAAGATGGGAATTTTCTTGTCCAGATTTTAGTCTCCCAAACCACAGCTCAGATGGCAGAATGTGGTGAGAACTGATGGACAGTACAATAGAACAAAACAGAAGCCCTACCTCTCAGAAACGTGTGTTAAATGTGGCATGTGGCACAGCTGACGGAAAAGAGAGTGTGTGTTTAATTTTTTTTCTGAGAAAACTGACTGGAAGCAAGTAAGTTGTGTCTTTACAACATATACCAGAGCAGATTCTAGGTAGAAGAGGAATGACGTGCAAACAACAGCAGCAACAGAAACAAAACGGAAGACTCAAAGGGAAGGGAGGTGAACGTTCCCTGATTTGGCGTTGGGGAAGGACACGGAGGGAGGTGGATGAAACCAGTGAGGCAACAGCTATTGCTTTCACGCAGAGGAACTCAGCTTGCCTGAGCCACAGTGAAAATGGCTGTTCCCTGGAGCATTTGTGCACACGATTTATTTAAGGTGCCCTGTGAGGTCCTGCACATTCATCTTCTCACTTTGTTCTCCTAACCACCTGAGAGGTAGATGAAGAAAGCCTCCAGGGGAGCACCCAGCTGGCAAGGGACGTGTGTGATTGCAGCCTGGCCTGGTGCTCTGGGGCCCTTGCTCCGCCTGAGGACCCCACACAGGTCAGACCCACAGGCTCGGGGCGAGCCGGAGCCCAAGGTTGTGTTGGGGACAACTGTGAAGGAAGAAACGGACATCTGATGCACAGTTGGGAAGGTCCTACCAGCAGCATCAAAGAAATGCGTGTGAAACGGACAGCGAGACCCGCCCTTTGTGCTGCCTCCTTTTCTGGGCTTCCCAAGAGCCAGCATCAGGGTGAGGCAAGTTGGAAAGACTTTTCTGGAAAGCAGCTTGTTTGCATGGAAGTCCTTACAATGTCCTGTGTTTTCCCAGTAATTCCACTTCTGAAGTGACCAGACATTATCACGGGTCTTATTTCCCATTTCCAGTGCTCCAGATATGGGGCGGGGGGATTGCCACAGCAAGTCGCCAACCCGCCCAAATCCAGGGCTAAGCAGATACTATGTATCACAAAACTTACTCTGCCGTTAGACATGTTTTCAAAGAATGTTTGAAGAATGTTTAATGGCACAAAACGTTTATTTCAATGTAGCAGTGTTCAAAGCTGGATGTAAAAGAACGCAGCCCAGGGAGCCCGCTGTGGATGTCACGTGTGTTCGTCTTTGGACACGGATGTACACGGGCAGTGAGTGGTGGCAGGGCCCTGGAGGACGTCGGTGGGATGCCTCCATCCTGCCCCTCTGGAGATACCCTGTGTGTGCCACGTGCACTCACTGGAGCCCTCTTTAGCTGGCGCCACCTGGCTCTTCCATCCATGAGATTCAAACACAGATTCCCCATGCCCGACTCAGTGTTCTCCCACAGAGAAGCTGAGTCACACCCGTGTCCACTCGAGGGATGCCCGGGAGTCAGGGCTCCACAGTTTATTATGTGTTTTTGGCCGAGTTATGTGCAGATCTCATCAGGGCAGATGATGAGTGCACACACACGGCCGTGCAAGGCTTGGATACACTCAACATCACTAGCCACGTCCTGGTGGAGTCTGGCCATGCAGGGTCCGGATGGCGTGTAGCGTTTTGAGTCCACGGAGAGAGCAGCCAACTCCCTGAGGCTACAGTGCGTGCCCCAGGCAGGACAAGGAAGCAGGAGGAAGGCAGGAGGCTCTTTGGAGCAAGCTTTGCAGGAGGGGGCTGGGTGTGGGGCGGGCACCCGTGTCTGACGTCCCCCCTGTGTCTCAGCTACGCCCGGACCTCCATCAGAGCCAGTCTCACCTTCAACCGCGGCTTCAAGGCCGGGAGGAACATGCGTCGCAAACTCTTTGGGGTCTTGCGGCTGAAGTGTCACAGCCTGTTTCTGGATTTGCAGGTGAGCAGGCTGACGGTCAGCACAGAGTTCAGAGTTCGGGGGGCATGTGTGTTACTGTGTGCACGCATGTGTACGTGTGTGTGTGCGTGCCTGCAAGGCTGACGGTGACTGGCTGCACATAAGAGTGCACATGTGCGCAGATGCACGCGAGCCATACGTGTGTGTGTGTGTACATGAAGGCATGGCAGTGTGTGCACAGGTGTGCAAGGGCACAAGTATGAATGTGCACACGCAAATGCATACCTGACGTGCATGTGTGTTCATGTGCATTCGTGTGGGATTCATGTGAGGTGCATGCGTGTGGGTGTGCGGTGTGAGTAGCATGTGTGCACATAACCTGTATCAAGGGCCCCTCATGTTCACCCTGCTAGGTCCTCAGCACCAGCGCCCCTCCTTACAGGGTGAGATGGGGTGGACCCCCACAGGAGAGGGGGAGTGGACGTGGACGCCCACAGGAGAGGGGGAGTGGACACGGACGCCCACAGGAGAGGGGAGTGGATGCAAATGCCCACAGGAGAGGGGGAGTGGATGCAGATGTCCAGATGGGACAATGCTCTCAGGACTGCAACTTCAGAGCCACAGCCCACTGGGGCCTGGGACCCTGTCTCACCCTGTAAGGAGGGGCGCTGGTGCTGAGGACCTAGCAGGGTGAACATGAGGGGCCCTTGATACAGGTTATGTGCACACATGCTACTCACACTGCACACCTACATGCATGCACCTCACGTGAATGCCGCATGACTGCACATGAACACATGCATGTCAGGTATACATTTGCGTGTGCACATTCATACTTGTGCCCTTGCACACCTGTGTACACATTGCCATGCCTTCACTCCCCCTCTCCTGTGAGGGTCCACATCCACTCCCCCTCTCCTGTGGGCATCTGCGTCCACTCCCCCCCTCTCCTGTGGGTGTTCACTCCCCTCTCCTGTGGGCATCTGTGTCCACTCCCCCTCTCCTGTCATCGGCCACTCCTTCCTGTGGCCGTCCACTCCCTTCTCCCTGTGGCATCTGCGTCCACCCTTTCCCCCTCTCCCTGTGGCATCTGTGCCCCCCTCTCCTAATGCCAATCTGTTCCACTCCCCTCGCCTGGCTCGCGTCCACTCCCCCGCCCTCTGTGGTTCACCCTCTCCTGTGCATCTGTTCCACTCCCTCCTCCTCTGCACTGTTCCCACCCCTCTCCTTGGGCATCTGCGCCACTCCCCTCTCCTGGCGTCACTCCCCTGCTCCTGTGGCATCTGTTCCACTCCCCTCTCCCTGTGGGCGTCCACTCCCTTCCTGTGGCATCTCGTCCACCCCTCTCCTGTGGATCTGTGTCCAACTCCCCCTCTCCCTATGGGGCATTGGTTCCATCCCCTTCCTGTGGGCGTCCCGCGTCCACTCCCCCTCTCCTGGGGAATCCGCGGCCACTCCCCTCTCCTCTGGCATCTGCGTCCACTCACTCTCCTGACGTCCACCCCCTCTCCTGTGGCATCGGGTTCCATCCCTCTCCTGGGCGTCCACTCCCTCTCCTGTTGGGGCCATCTGCGCCACTCCCCCTCCTGTGGGGCATCTGTTCCACTCAACCTCTCCTATGCATCTTTAGCCCACTCCCCCTCCCTGCTGGCGTCTGCGTCCACTCCCTCTCCTGTGCAATCAATGCTTCACTCCCCCTCTCCTGGGGCGTCCACTCCCCCCCGCTGGGTGGCAATCTGCGTCCACTCCTCTCCTGTGGGGTCTGGCGTCCACTCCTCTCCTGTGGCCGTCCACCCCCTCCCCGTGGCATCTGTGTCCACTCCATCTCC